GTCGGCTTTGTCCATCCCGAGTGTATTAGTCTATTTTGTGTTGCTATAACAGAATACCTGGATCTGGGTGATGTGTAAAGAAAAACAACATTTATTTGCTTACAGTTTCTGAGGCTGGGAAGTCTGAAGTCCATCTGGTGGTGGCAAGAGTGACCCAGGGGTCTCACATTGCAAGATGGTGGAAGACAGCCAGGAAGACAGACTCTCCTCTTCTTATAAAGCCCTCAGTACCATGCCCTTGACAACCATTTTTAACCCATTCACTACTGCACGGTCCTACAATCCAATCACCTCTTCAAGGCTCCATCTTTCAATCACCATAATAGGATTTTCCATCCTCTTAACAGTCACAGTGGGGACCAAGTTTCTAATACATAAAACTTGGGGGACACAATTCAAGCTTCAATGAGTTTTGGGGGGACATAATTCAATCCACTACACCAAGCTTCCCCTGGGTCCTTCCTCCCACCCATGAGGAAAGCTCAGGAGCAGGGGCCGGCAGCCATGGGGTACAGCAAAGTGGCGCCGAGGTGCCGCTGCCTGTTGTCGGGAGCTGGCATTGCACCCTTTTTGAGTAAAGGAAATCCGCCAACTCATTGGAACCCAGAGCCTTAAGTCTAAAGGACAGCTTTTTGTGTGTTTGTGTGTGTGTGCCTTCCACCCCTCTTATTGAGGGCCCTTATTCTGTTAGGATCCTTAGAATCTTCTAGGCTACACAGTTCAAATCCTGGAGATAGACCTCAAAGGGAAAGATGAACTGAAGTGTCTGGCTTAGCTCAAATTCTCACACGGGGTTTGAGAAAGACAGCAGGGGAAGATCGATGAATGAAAGGGGAAGAAAATGAGTGCCTTGTTGTTCCAGGCTTTATACGTGTGGTTATTTTAAAAATCCTTGTTGAAATGAATACCCTAAGAGCCATTTTACAGATTAGAAAACCTGTCCTAAGAAAATGCTAAAGGATAATATTTTAAAGTGTAAAACCATGACTTATACAAATATAAAATAAACACATTTCAAAGATTTTATTTAACTCATTAATTAATGAAGGAACCAGTAAGGTGCAAAACCTGGTTCAAAGGAGAATCGGAAGAACAGACACACGTATAGATAATCAGGAATGCTGAAATGAATTTGCTACTAAGTGCAAAACTGCTCAGTCTCCATGGGGTAATAATTAATTGCATCTTCATTGTACAAAATTTATTTGCATCTCCATGGGCAAGAATCTTTTGTATTGCTATGTTTTCTACAACGCACAGAATTGTCAAATAACTTAAAGGCAAGTAAGAGTTCAGACCCTTCCAGAGTCAGGTAACTCCTGGAAGGGTCCTCTAGACAATCTGTGGTGAAATTAAGTAATGCCTTCAAATTTGCACAACTGCTAAATAGAAGATCTGGAATTAAAACCAAATCTACATGTCTCTGTAAGTTTGGGCTATTTGCTCTGTACCAAGTAGCTTTTGGTCAAGTGATGAGGATTTTCAGCAGAAATCTGTGGTATTGACCACACATCACCCCATTTAGTTAAAAATCTCTGGTCTCAGGAATGTCCATCAGAACCTATAGCAATTTTCCAAAGGACTCCAAATGTCCATCAATCATTTGCCATCTTGAGGGAGTCTCCTCCTCTATAAGTCTTGAAGGGCTTGGAGCCTGGTCCGAGCCCTGGGAAAATGGTAGAAGAGTCTCAACACTCCCACTGCACGCGTGACGTGGAACAGGTGCAGAGACTACGCAGCCCAGGCTCCAGTCAGTTCTTTGCTTTGGCAGTTTCAGGACGCTGGTACAGCCGGATTACACCCTCATCATGTAACCGCTTCCAGACTGCTCTCTCTAACTTGAAGTCATGGTTTATGTAAAAGATCAGTCGTTTCCACGTCTTATCATAATAGTGATCGGAAAAGCGCTCATGGCCCTCAGTGATGAAGCCATAGGCGCTCACCTGTGTAAAGGTTGGAGGAGAAATAGGGCCTGCAGTTGCTGCCTCCCAGGCTTCTTCTCATGGGCTAACTCTGTGGGTGGGGTGGGGGTCGGGAATCCCTTTATCCTGGTTTCATCCCTGGGAGTCTGGGTGCAGGTCCCCGGATGCACAAGCACACATGCATGCACCCACACTCATGCTCACTCCCCCTCCCTGTCAGAGGCATGTACCCAGCTCAGCAGCATCCATTGCTGAGCAGGCCCAGGAATAGCCCCAGAGCTGTTTCTCCAGGTACTCCTGCTCCTGAAGTTGAGCCTTACCTGGTCACAGAGCTGAAGGGCAGTGAGCAGCAGGAAGGCCCCAGTGGTGGGGCGGTATATTCTCCAGTGGGCAGTATCCAGGGTCTTAGATCTCAAAAACCTGTGAAATACCCCATACCCCCAACTGTCAGGAGTCTGCAACGATGAGAGGACGTGGGCCCCCACGTGCATTCTGCTCTCACCTGTTCTTCATGTATCGGAGCAAGTCTGGGTGCAGCAACAGGTATCTGTCCAGTTGCAAGGCTTCCCGAAAAGCTTCCTGGGGCCTGTGCCTGTGATCGGGAATGGGTCACTCAGACTCAGTTCCCTTACCTGCCTGGCGTTGGCCAAATCAAGATCATGGGCATGACTGGTACCCCATCTCCAGGCGATAGCTAAGGCCGTCCCCACCTGTTCGACCCTTTACAGCTGCTCACTACACAGTTCAGCCTGAGGTAAGGGGGTGGGGGAGGGCAAGTGGGTACCTGAACCAGAAAAGGTTCTTTTTCACCAGGGTCTGATTCAGAAGCAGTGCTTCCAGCCACTCATAGTCCCGGGTGCCTTCCAGGAAGTGCAGGTAGTGGACATCCTGAGGACCAAGGACAATGAGTGGTCCAGGAGTACTGCCTTCAGGACCACAGGCTGCGGTGGCCCAGCTCTGCCTGCAGACTGCCCACTTGCTCTTCTCTGGCCTGGTCTGGCTGTCCTCCCTGCTCTTGCCCCTCATGTGAACAGAGCCTGTACCAGCCGCAGCCTCCATCCAGACACAAAACGCTCCTCTCCCTGTCTCACCTGCACGCACCCTTATCCAGAGTCTGTGTGTGGCCAGGCCCGCTCCTCTTTGCTCACCTTCCCCAGAGGCACATGCTGGAAACCTCGATTGCCCAGTATAAGAAGTGACTGGGTCAGGGAGAAGGCGGTAAAGCCATAGAAGGAAGTCCGGGTACCCACATCCTGTTCGTAGCCTTTAATGAGAGCTCCACTCAATCTATACAGAAAGACAAAATCAGACAGGACACTTGAGTGGAGGAGGGGAGGAGCATCGAGGTAGATGGGGGAAGGAGAAACGGGGGAGGCAGCAGTTATATATACACCGAAATTCTCTGGAGAGCCCAGGAATTTCACCTTCCAGATCCAGGCAGGAACCTGCTATCAGTCCTCTCAGAAGAACCCACATCTGCAGGAGAGGGGCTGGAAAGGGAGCTTGGAGTGGGACAACTTACCGGAACACGTAGTCATGACTGTCTATCTCTTGGCCCACGTGGGAGTTGTTCAGGATGCCCCCGTTGCCCACCACAGCACAAGTGATGCACTTGGGGCTTCCAGGAGGGAGGCTGGCCAGGAGCAGCTGCTGCTGGGGCACTGGAGCGAAGCGTGTCACCACGTCCCGCACCACTGGAACAAGGCAGGGTGGGGGACGGGAGGGGGCCTCTGTTCAGAGCCCTGGAAGGGACAGGAATCCAGCCCATCATTTCTCCCAGGTCTGGTGGCCCCCAGGGAAGAGGCAGACCAGAGACAGAAAGCAGCGTCCCTCTGCCCTCTCCTTGTGCACACCCAGCAGACTCCTCCTGGCGTTAGGACTCACAGGAGTAATTGAGCTCCATGAAGCCGAAGGGTGGTGCGAAGTGCTCCAGGCGGTCCCACTCACTCTGGTTGAAGTGCCTGGAGTCCAGGAAGAGGGTGAGGTTGGGCAGAAAGAGATTCTGGAGCCACTGTGACTTGGATGCTTTGACCTTCACAGAGTCAGGGCAGGTCTATGTGCAAGAGGACTAGGTCAGGCAGGCAGAGGCCCAGGAGGGCCATCGACCACAGGCTGGGGTGCAGGGTGCAGGGAGCAGAAAGCGAGCAAGGGTTTGCAAGAAGCACCCTGTGCGTGGGAGTGGTTAAGCCCAGGTGGTTCTTCTTAGGGCTGGAAGACAGTGCAAGTTGTGGAATTGGCTTTGCAGGGAAGACAAGGCATTCCTGGGGATTAGGGCTGGCTGTGGGTGGGGTGTTCTCTGCTGTTATCCTGCGCCCTCCTCCTGACAGAGGATGAAGATTCTGGTGTCACGCCCCAGAGAAGGCCACACCCTCTTACCCCAGACTGATGACTCTCCAGACCTTCCTCGGGACTGCAGGGCAGGCCCCGCCTTGCTCACCTTCCTGTGCTGTGCACACCGAGATTCTGGGGCCTGCCTTCTCCTCCCCCATTTTGGCCACCATAGGAAGGAAGGATGGGACGAGAGCAGCGTAGGGCGCTGGCTGTGCTGCATGACGAGCGTGGGCGGGACAGGATGAGCCTGCTGGGGGTGGGCTGCCTTTCAGGAGGGGCTTCAGAGCAGGAAGGCATAAGGGAGGGGGTAGTGGCAAAAACTCACCGTCTGCGGGCCCCCCACATCCAAGCTGTACTTGTCGTCAAAATCCCAACGAGGCTCGGACTTGAAGTTGGCGGCCCTCAGTCCTTGGCCTCTTCGTGTGGTGGCGCTCTTCAAAGGGGCAGGGGGTGGGGTGACCTGGGCTTGCTTCTCCTTGGGTGGGACAACTGCTGTGGTCGTTGCTTTCTTTCTCGTCCTCGTGGACACTGCTCCGGCGGTGGTCAACATTTGGTCCTGACTTCCTGGCATGAGCGTCTTTGTCGTGGTCGCCGCTCTGCCCTGCTTCTTCACTTCCACGACCCTCGTGGTTGTCAGCTTCCCATCCTGGACTCCCCTTCCTTTGGTTGTCTTCAGGTCTTGACTCTTCAGTGATGGGGCCTCTGGCCCTTCAGAGACTATCCTCGTGTTTTGACCTCTTGGTGACAGTGTGCCCAGCACGGTTTTCTCTTTTTCCTGACTCTTCAGTAAAACCGTGTTTGCTGTGCCAGGCTTCGTGCCCTGCTTCTCCGGCGGTGCCTGGTCGGCCCCTGCTCCTCTGCTCCCTCCAGCACTGTGGGCTGTGGGCTGGGGTTGTGTGTCGAGGACACTGTCCTCTTGCTCTGACTCTACATGGTCAGTTGCCCTCCTTCCCATTGTGGGTGACGCGGACTTCGCCTTTGGTAGTGTCTCTAGAGACCTTTCTTTAATGTTCTGCATATGTTGATACCTAGGGACAGAGACAACTTTTGCTGAAGGCTGAAGATTGTAGAAACAGGTCCGAAGCACAACTAGTATTTATTCTTGTGCCTCAGGCAGGAGGAGATGAAGGGAAGGGGTATCACCATCCACTACCCAAAATTGCACTGCACGGGCCGGCCCGTGCAGTGCAATTTTTTTTTTTTTTTAAAGATGACCGGTAAGGAGATCTTAACCCTTGACTTGGTGTTGTCAGCACCACGCTCAGCCAGTGAGCGAACCAGCCATCCCTATATGGGATCCGAACCCGTGGCCTTGGTGTTATCAGCACCACACTCTCCCAAGTGAGCCACGGGCCGGCCCGTGGCTCACTTGGGAGAGTGTGGTGCTGATAACACCAAGGCCACGGGTTCGGATCCCATATAGGGATGGCTGGTTCGCTCACTGGCTGAGCGTGGTGCTGACAACACCAAGTCAAGGGTTAAGATCTCCTTACCGGTCATCTTTAAAAAAAAAAAAAAATTGCACTGCACCCTTTGGCAATGCATCTGGAAACTCACCTCTGACCAATAAAGAAACCTTGGCAATAGCAAGGAGTTCAGGGAGCTGGAACTAGATGCAAAACCCAGAGCTGAAAAGTTTCCCTAGTGCTGTACCCCAGTGCCCTGTGCTTAGCCCTGGGCCACCAGTGTGCCCTACCATCCCCCATCACTGAGTTCCAAGAATGAGTCTGTGTGACCCTATCACCTAATGTCTGTGTGATTCAGTTGACTTTTTTTTTTTTTAAATGAAGTGTAGGTAGCCAAGGTAACCTTGTTCACAAGGAATTAGGAGGCACATTCATGTAAGTAAGGCCATCAGCTGCCAACCTTGATTTTGAAAGGTCTGCCTTAAAGATTTGCTTCAAACATATCAGGAGTCAAACCCTCCTTAAAAACAAACTCTTGCTTGTTGGCATAGTTAGGAAAAATACGTATGCTCGACAACTATTTGTCGAGAGCTCACTGTATTGGCCACATCACATGTTAGATGCTGGAGATCACAGATGAAAGGTGTGTTTCCCAGCCATAAGCAAGAGGAAGTCTAGGGAGAGACAGTGGGTAAACAAGTACTATAATCACACGGCCTGGGGGATGTGTGAGCCTGGGGGGCACATGAAGGACGTGGCTCTGTCCGCCTCCCCTGGGAGTGAGGAAGGCTTCCCAGAGGAGCTTTTCCTCCGCAGAGGAGTAGGAGTTGGGAGGGGGCAGTTTCCGTCCTAGAAGCATGAGACCCGCGGTGGGCGGGGGCTGTTAAATAACTACAGAACAGTGCAGGGCAGGGGAGGCCCCAACAGGGAGGCAGGGCTGGATGATGATTTGCACTGCACGTGAGATTACGAAGTTAGAGTTTACCATTTTTCCACTTGTTCAGGAGAAGCTATTGAAGCATTTCAAGTGGGAGGTGGCTGGGGCGGGTGGTGCTGAAGGAAGGAAGTGGGTGGGGTGCCGAGCACAATCTGATTCCATCCTGGAATGCTTTTTCTGGTGGTGATAAAAGAGTACTCACCTCTGATCTACTCAACAAAGCAAAAACCTAGCGAACAGCTCGTTACTCAGTGAAGCCTTTTGGTGGATTCACCCCCACTTGTTTCTTACCCCCAACCTCAAGAGGCCTGTGGAAGTTTTCCATCCAAGCTTCTGCAGCACTCTGCTGAGAGGAACTCTGTTGAACAACGTTTTCCCCATCTTGAACGTTTGCTCGGATGGGGCTGCCTGGCTGGCATGCACCTTAATACGTCTGGGATTGGGAGTGATGAGGAGGCAGGGGTGGTCTATCACATTATACGGACAGCACGCATGGAGAGCTGACCAGCTGCTCAGCAGTCACGTGGGCCCTGAACAGCTAAGGCACTCCTCTCTGGAAGCCAATCTAGAGGCAAGAGTGATCCACTGACTCCCTGAAGGGCTATTTTGTGTGCAAATGCTGCAATTGATTGATGACTCCTTTAAGTTTTTCCTTTTTTTAAAATCCAAACCCTTCCCCTGGCTGTTGCTGCCTCTGCCCACCACCACCAGCTGCATCTCCTGCCCTCTTTCTCTCACTGGCCCCAGGGCCTCCTTTACTAAACTAACTTGTCCTGCCTCAAGGGCCTGACCCTAGCTGTCCCCTCCACCTAGAACACTTATTAACCAGATCTTTGCAAGATTTCTCATTCTTCAGGTCTCAGGTCACAGCTCACCTCCTTAGAGGCCTTCTAAGACCATCCCCCTCTGCCCCCATCTTGGATACTTTCTTTCAAGTTCCCCTGCTCTTAACTATTCTTTGAATTTATTACCATCTGAAATGATCTTTGTTTTCCTGTGTATTGTCCATTCCCTGCTCCCCCTTCCCTTCCCAGGCTGTGAACTCTAGGAGAGCAGGAACCATGCATGGTTCCTTGGGTCACTGCTGTGTCCCAAAGCTGAACTAGGGTCTGGCACAGAGAAGGTGAGCAACCTGTGCAAGGTCACACAGCACAGTACTTGGAATAGAGTAATAATTAGAATATTATTTGTTGAATAATGAATTGTTGTCTTATGGTCTTCAGTTTCCTCGTATGCAATATGGGCACAAAATTTGAACTTAACTCTCAGGGTATGACACTTCAGTTCTTAGCATATGACAAGCACTCAAGAAATGGGAACCAGAATATACAGTTTTGTGTCCTTCCAGGGGTCTTATTTTTTCCACTCCCCATGAAGGGTGTGGGGGCTTCAAATTCTCTGCCTTTCCCATTCTGGACCTCAGTTTCCCCATCTGCAAAATCCCCAGCCCTCCATCTTGAGTCTTCTGTGCTAGGTTCCTGGGTTGTTTCAAGGAGTGTAGGGGTCCAGGCCTGGGTCCAGCTTTCGCCTCCCATCCTCTTTTTCAAGGAAGCCCCAGAACAATGAATGGGAGGCTGGACAGTCTGGGCCCCTCCCCAGGTCCCTGCAGAAGGAGGGAGGGTGTGGCCTTCCTGTGGCTGGACAAAGGGCCACTGCCGCCCTGGGTCCTCCAGTGGCCAAAGGGAGGGGCAGAGTCAAGGCTCAGGGAGCTCCCATTTTAGGTTACTCAGTATAGGCCAAACCTGCAGGGCCACCCAAACACTTCTACATACCCCCAGAGCAATATGCAAATGCACATACCCACACAACCAACACAGCACATATATGTACAACTGATGCCTCCGACTTGACAGAAACACACCAATGCATACAACCAACAGAGCAACCTGCCAAAACACACAGCATAATACCATAATATACAATCAACACACCCGACCTCAAGACACACAACCAAAACACCAAATCTGCACAACCAACACACCAAAAAAATAGACCAAGGAGGCAACACATAAAACACTCAGTCATCACACATAACAGAACCACACTCAAGCGACAAACCACAATAATCCCCTTAAAAAACACAACACACAGATACACGCACCCTACACTGTGACACATCAAATACAAAACGCACTTACATTCACACACTACGGCTCACATCAAAACACCAGCCACACCAGGAAGCCCACACCCTTAGAGGAAACAACTAAATGCAAGAGGATAAACCAGCTTCCTCTAGGGACCCCGCCCCACAATGCGCATACCCAACCAACACCCACCTTCACCAGCTCCAAGACCCCATACTCTCCACTTCAGTTTTACAGGAACCCGAGGCCGGCCCGTGGCTCACTTGGGAGAGCGTGGTGCTGACAACACCAAGTCAAGGGTTAAGATCTCTTTACTGGTCATCCTTTTTTTTGTCTTTTTCGTGACCGGTAAGGGGATCACAACCCTTGGTGTGGCGTCGCCCGC